AAAAGAGAGAACACACAGGATTTGCTAATGGGTCATGTGTGGGGTATGAATGACAGTCAAGGCTGACCCAATGCTTTTTTGATCTGAGCAAAGGAAAAGGAGCAGCCATTTCCCAAGATGAGGTACAGCAGGGGTTGGCAACCTATGCCTGAGCACCAAATTCAGCCTGCTTCCTGCTTTTGCACAGCTGCGAGTTAAGCATGGCTTTTACATTTTGCAAAGTTCATAAACATAAAAACAACAAAAAAGAGAAAACTGGTTGTGGCACTCAAAACCCCAAAATACTCATAATCTTTTTACAAACTTTGGCAACCCCTAGGCCATAGGAGACAGGGTCTAGGGAGGAAGACTGAAAGCTTAGTGTTGAACATGCTAAGCTCAGGGGGCCATGTGGACATCCAAGTGCAGAGGCTTAGTGGGCAGTTACAGACAGGGCAGTGCCAAGGCTGGGGGAACAAGAGGGCTGAAAATACAAATTTAGAAGTCTTCTGTATTAGTCCATTTTCACTGCTAATAAAGACATACCCAAGTTCGGGTAATTTATAAAGAAAAATAAGTTTAATGGATTCATAGTTCCACATGGTTAGGAGGCCTCACAATCATGCCACCTTATATGGTGACAGACAAGAGAAAATGAGAGCCAAGTGAAAGGGGAAACCCCTTATAAAACCATCAGAACTCATGAGACTTATTCACTATCATAAGAACAATTCTGGGGAAACTGCCTCATTATTCAATTATCTCCCATAGGGTCCCTCCCACAACACGTGGGAATTATGGGAGCTGCAATACAAAATGAGACTTGGGTGGAGACACAGTCAAACCATATCACCTTCCATCTAAATGGTGTTTAAAGCCGTAAGACTGGAGGGTTTACCTAAGGTATAAGGAAAAAAACAACATGCAGTGGCTCACGCTTGTAACCCCAGCACTTTGGGAGGCCAAGGCAGACAGATCACTTGAGGTCAAGAGTTTGAGACCAGCCTGGCCAACACTGGCCAACATAGCGAAACCCCATCTCTACTAAAAAATGTAAAAATTAGCAGGGTGTGGTGGCACATGCCTGTAATCCCAGCTATGGCAGGAGGCTGAGGCACAAGAATCACTTGAACCCAGGAGGCAGAGGCTGCAGTGAGCTGAGACTGCACCACTGCACTCAAGCCTAGCTGACAAAGTAAGACTCTGTTTCAGGAAAAAAAATAATAAAAGAAAAACAGTGCTCATAGACTGGGCCCCCGTGGCCTCCAAGAGGTAGCGATCAGAAAGCTAAGACAGAACCGACAGGATGCCGAGGAAGAACAGTCAAGAGAGCAGGAGGCAGCCAGCCAGCATGGGGTACACTTCCCCTCTTTCGATCCTCAAACCCACTCAGCAAGAGGGTATACCTATCCCAGTTTACTGATAAGGAAAGTCACCCTACTAGGAAGAGGCAAACAGACCCACACCCAGGCCTCTCTAGCTCTACCTACTCCACATGGCTTTTCTACAGAGCAACCTATTGAGTTATTACTGATGCCACAAATACAATTAAAACCAAATAATTCCAGGCAGCCTGTAAGACAATCTTTCCTTCTAAGTAAAAAGCTGATTCTATGATTAAAGGCTGAGAGTCTCATCAAGACAACCAAGCACTGTATAGATTCAAAGCATGTTACAGACATCGTCAAACAGCTCACAAGGTCATCCCCAGGGACAGAGAGAAAGCTATTTTTCCTAACTTGATGAACAATTCTCAAGTTTATCCAAAGGAATAATAACTAAATGAGATAAACTAAGTAAGTTTCATAGAAAATAAAGTTTATTGGGTAACAGTAAAGTTAGTTACTAGAATAGCTTGAAAAATAAGGTACTAGCACAGACCAAAATCTCAGAATTAAACCCAATATCCTGGGAAATTCTGGCACTGCAAAATCAAATTGAAAGGATAGATTTCTCTATAAATACGAGTCAATGATAACCGTTTGGAAACAAAGCTTCTTACCACATAGCATATGACAAAATAAATTTCAAGAAGATTAAATTTCATGTTATGTAATCATAAAATAAAACTCAAAGAAAAAGCAAAAGAATTTTGCCCCAAACTGAGGATGACTTCTTTTAACAGAGAGAATCATGGAGGGTGAAAACATAAAGGAAAATACTAATAACTTTAAATGAACAAAGTTATTTAACTTTGTATATAAAAAGATACCATAAACAAAACATAAAGGCAAATGATGACAAGGTATTAAGATACAAAGAGCTCTAAGACGTCATCAAGGTAAAATATGAGCATTACAGAAATGAGCAAGAGATGTAAATAAATTTTTTCAAAGTTTCTATAATAAACATGTTATGGGGGAAGATTAAAAAGGAAAATAATTACCTATAGCTTAATTAAAGCTACATCCTGGATCAGCAATGGAGCTAGAACAAGGGGTCTGTGGTTCAGCACTCAATTTACCAAGCCAGCCCCAGGTAAAACATGAGATGCTGGTGTCAAAAGAGAAACACAAATAATGAAATACAGCTGCCCTGTGGGAAAGCAATCATCTCGGATTTAGAAATAAAGCTGTACTGACACCTCCTATTTCCATCCCTTTAGCCCTACTTTACCCGTTTCTTCCTAGAATCAGAGGATTGAGGCTGAAAGAAATCCAAGAAACTTTAAGGTCTCATTTCCTTATTTCGCAGTGTGACAAAACTGAGACCCAAGTAGTGGAAGAAGTTGGCACTGAGGCCGGATACCTGTTCCAGGGGTCCTCTCAATTGCACCTGATGACTCATGCCCTTCTTTTTTGGCGGGGAAGGGGTGGAGAATGAGGTCTCGCTCTGTAACCCAGGCTGGAGTACAGTGGTGCGATCTTGGCTCACTGCAACTTCTGCCTCCAGTCTCAAGCAACCCTCCCACCTCGGCCTCCCAGGTAACTGGGACTACAGGTATGTGCCACCACGCCCTGTTAATTTTTTTGTATTTTTGGTAGAGGCAGGATTTCACCATGTTTCCCAGGCTGGTCTCCAACTCCTTCGATCACGTAATATACCCGCCTCCCTTGGCGTCCCAAAATGCTGGGATTATAGGCGTAAGCCACTGCGCCGGGGCTTGATGCCCTTCTTCCCAGACAGCAGTGTCGAAAAAATAAGACGTGACTTTACAAATAACTCATCTTTCCACAAATGTCAGCAAAAAAATAAATAAAGAGAAACCATACAAATTTCCAATGTTTTGTTAGAAAGTACTTCATAATGTTTGAATACTATTCCATATTAGGAGTCGCATTACTGCTTTAACGAGACATCTTTGTCCATCTGAATTCCCTTTCCTGCTGAAGAACTCAGAGAGCCATGACAGGGAAGATAGACAGGCTGAACATGCCACTGTGGACCTGTGATAGCACTCCTCACACCGACCCCATCCCTCTGGATCAGTTGGTCCAGGGTCTGCCATACTAGACGGCTTCTATCTGCTCAAAGCCTTTTTAGCACAGAGCCCAGACTGCAGAGCCAGGCAGGAGACTGCAGCACCCTGTTCAGTGCCTGTGAATGCGTTCTTGACCTGCCATCACGGCCCACTGGATACTCCACACTTCCCTGCCGCTGGGGACAGCTGCTCTTCATGACTAAGGGACTGCAGTAGTTATGTGCCACCATGTTAAGAAACGGAGTTCCTGCCTAAATGTTCAGGCAGCTGAGAAGTCAGTAAGATTTATTGTTTGTGGAGGTGTAGACTCATTAAAAACTACATGACTTTAATGCTTTCATTATTCAAGTATGACTGCCTTACTGTCATTGTATTTTTAATTTTGATTATGGATTTTTTTTTTTTTAAGAGAATACTGCTTAAGTTTTAATAGCTATGGTTCTGGCTCTTTTTCAGCTTTACGCAGGCCCTTGGTCCTTAATTCTGATGAGTCCCAGCAAGGCAATCGCCCTTTGCACTGAGAACCTCGCATTCACCTGCATTCTTGCTGAGGACCTAACCAACACACACACACACCAGGACTGATTTTCAGAACAATCTTAAAATAAAGGTGGAACTTAAGAGCTATATCATCCACTAAATTCTGAAACTAAAAATGACTGCTGAAAAACTGATTTTTTTTTAGTAAACTCCAATTTTCATACATAATTGTGGTATGAAAAGTTTATTTATAAATAAACTTTAATAATCTTGTCACATACAGTATTTACAAGTCCCTCACACAACTAGTCTTCCTGAGTAAAATCAAGTTTCTTATGGTTTAGATGCCTGTCTTCCTAGGACAAATCTTCTTTCCCTCTATCCAGCCTATACCAGGGAGACTGTACCCACCACCCACCGAGCTCCCCATCCGCCTCGACCCATGCCCTGCTCCCGGGGCTCCTGAGCTCCCCTCCATCATGGGCACTTACCCTGACAATGACCTGCCTTCTCCTCTGTCCTGACTTCTAGATTATGAACTCCTTGAATGCAGGAACTGGTCTCTACTTGACCTGGTATCCCTAGAACCTACCCCCATGGCTAGCACATACAAGAACTCAATCAATGGTCTTAATGAATGAGAAATCCACTTAAGTAAACTTTATCTAGATCAACCTGCCCAAATATTGGTTTTATTTTAGACTTAGTTCCACCGCTGAGGTAGCTTGGATGATAAGAGCCTCCCTTGACACATCAGGCCAGGTATGATCAAGGTTGTCCCTCAGGATCCTGGAGCTCCAGGTGGGGATGGAGGGCTGAAGAGGATGGAAACTTCAGAACCACAGATGGAGGCTTCCTGAAGATGCCTCCTTCCCCCGCACCGCATACCCCCACCACCGGTACACACACACCCAGCAGGTGTTTATCCTGCACCAAAGTGAGGCACTGAGCACAGGGCCGGGAGGAAGCCAGGCCAGATCTTCACTACTCTTTCAGAAGCCCTTTCTAATGGGCATGTGCTCTTTCCTGCCTCTGGTACAGCAAGTTTCTGACAAACTGGAACATCAGCTGCAAACCACATATTTAGAGGAGAAAGTTCACCTTGGGGTCACTGACTCACCATCTGCAGTGTGAAGGAGCTTGTGACTTTTCAGTGTTCCTTTTGATTTGAATTTCTTGCCACACATGTCACATAGGTGGGTTTTCTCAGTGCTGTGACGATTCATATGAGCCTTGAGGTTACTCTTGCTTCGAGTTGCATACTCACACAAAGAACACTTGAAGGGCTTCACACCTGCCAAGGGGAAAATGTAGATATCTATCTATATATATGTACATATGTATATGCATATGTGTGTGTGAATCTGAAGGAATGCATATATCCCTATCTAAATATACTTATAGATATGTATACATAAAACATCCGTTTTGAACACAGCAATGTACTTGCTTGGTCCTAAAGCACCACACACTTCCCACGCCAGGCCCCTCCCCAGGCTGTGCCTTCCCCCTGGGATGCCCTTGCCTCCTGGGATGCCCCCACCCTGCAGCTTTCTCTGACCTTCCCTGGTAGATTTCTCTACCTCCCTTATCAAGGTTCCTAACTCCTGTAACTCTCTACCAGCTGGAATGTTCACTGCACATTACAATGAGTCCTTCATCTCGGCCCTTTCCCTACAGTCTGGGAACTCCTTGAGGACAGAGATCCTGAGCAACCCATAGACAAGATAGTCACTAAATTCAACTGATCTGAGTTAAACTGAACACCATGAAAGTTGCCATTGTCCTTTGCAAACATCAGTGGGATCAGGCACCAGGACCCGATGGGAAGCACATTTATTTCATAAAACAAATCGAGCTTTACCACACTGGTGGTTGATGGGCTGATGACTCTGACTGTAGGGGCATCTGGGCATCACCACTCCTTCATTCACCAAGGGTCTACTGAGGACCTATTTTTATACTAAGCACTGAGGATTAATGTGGAAACTGAGAAGAGTGAATCCCAACCTTCACTGTCGGGTGGGAGACGCAGACAGGCAAACAGGCCATTACAACATGGTGTGATATGCTATGGGGACAGGGGCTGGAGCTGGGGGGAAAGAGGAGGAGGGCAGAGAACAAACCTGAACACAGTAACGAAGCAGACAATTTTTAGTAGGCCGAACGTTTTCACCCATTATCTACACTACCTATGACTTTGCAGTTGAGGAAAGCAACACTTTAAAGAGGCTGAGGGCAATGCCCAGGGGCGCAGAGCTGAGATGCACTCAGAGGTGTGATGTGCCTTAGGACCCATGCAAGCCCAGCTCTGGCCTGGGTTTCTAGAGATAAAGTAATACTCTAACCATAAGCGCCAACAGGCTGTGTGCCCTTGAACTTATGTTTGAATCACAGTTCTCATCTCTGTAAATGACAGGACCAGGAGTCACTTCCCAAAGAGCCTTCAGGGCACCAGATCCCCTGTTTTGGGTTCATCATTTACAACATGCTCTCCCAAGAGCAGGGCCACAGCCTTGGTGGTAGCCTGGGTCAAGCAGCATCTTTCTGTATCTCACACTACCCTCAGAGGCATTTCAACCCTGAGTCAAAGCTACAGACGGCTCACGACTACCACCACCGCAGAGGAGAAGCCCACACAAACCATACGAAAAGGAAACACAGTGCCTTCCTGCTGTCTTTAGATACTTTATAAATGTGTGAACACTTGAGTACATTCAGGTACAATCTGACTTGGTGTTTTTCTAAAAGAACTCAAGAATGAAGACATGCACTGTTTCCCAGTCCTGGAGAAGCCAAATTCATGATTTATGTTCTTCATTATGTCTGGAAGGAGAAGAACCAAGTAAAGCAACACAGAGATTGAAGTATACATATTTCCATTAACATCTTTGCCCACCCACTGGCCGGCCGTGCAACCCTGCAGAGTCACCTCAACATCTCTGCACCTCCATGAGCTCTGTGACGTATGATTATGGAAAATGAGATGGTGCACATAAACCAGCTGTGGATCTCCAGACCATCCACACTATGGCATTCACCCCAAGATGACATACTAAGACACTGTCTACTCTAAGTTGTCCCCAAAGGGCCAGTGTTTAGAACTGCTGCCTGGATGGGTCCCAGGTATGTTGCTTGACTACTAAGAAACCTCGAACACAGTTGCGGGTCCTCTAAGCAACAAATGTCACAGGTGTGCACAAAGTCCTACATGGTTAATTTCTGTGACTACAGTCAATACAGTGTTTTCTTATTTTCTTTCTTTTTAATTTGAGTTTTTTAATTTGTTTTTCTTGTCCTATGTTTTGAGAGTAAACAGAGACAAGAGGTATTTTATGGTGCAGAGATCAATTCCAAATAACTGAAATGCGGTCTGTGTACTGATATCCTTTTTCCTTTGTGATCCATCATTATACAGAAAGTCACAGATTAGGGAAAAAAAAAAAAAAAAAAAGGATGCCAGGATACAGCAGCCTTTGGCTTTCTGAATTTTTATCAAGTCTGAAGTCACTTAAAATACTAGATTACTTTCAAATGGCAAATATGCAACCTTACTGCAACATCACAAATGTTTACTTAATACAATATAGCATCAGCCATGTATTAAGTACTTGATATGTGCTAACCCTTCTACTGAGGGTTTTAAATAAATTGTCTCATTGATCCTTGCAACATATCCCAAAGTAGATCATATTATAGATAAACAGAGGTTCAGAGAGATGGAATTATTTGTCCATCATACATGCTGAGGGTGAGATTTGAACCCAGCTCTCGCACTTCCTCTCACATGAGTACAATTACAGTTTGATGCCTTTATAAGCCCCTGGTCTCCAGCCTCTGCTGGGCCCTCTGTAATTCCATCAGGGTCAACTCCCTGCTGATTCCCATGAACGCCATTCCAAGCATGTCTTCTCAGCATTCTTTGCTGAGCAAACTAGACATTGGTTATGAATGCCTTCAACTTCATAACAAAGAAACCACACGTGTCTAAACATGCACCTGCTACACCTTCACGCCCGTCACTCCTGTCTCAGTGTAGGAGGTGTCTCCTCCTCCTGAAATGAGTCAGTGCAGAAGAGAAGAGAAAGAGTCTTGGAATTAGATGGCATTGGTCCAAATCCCAGTTCCACCACGTGTTAGCTGTGTGACCCTGGGCAAATTACTTTACTTGTCTAAGCCTCATTTTCCTCATTGGTAAAATGTGAATGGTAATAGCACCCACCTCTAAGGCTGTTGAGAATACTGACTCCAATAACATGAGAAAACACTGAGCACTGGCATCTAGTAGGTGCTCATTATATGCTGGTAAACAAAAAGTAGCTGCCAACCTTGGAATTTATCTCAATTCCTTCTGCCTTCTCCAGGTTCGTAATCTATCAGTTACTATTCTCATTAATGAACCAATCATCTCTCTCCCCAATAGTTACTTCCCTGGGATCTAGAAACAGGTCATTTTTATCCCATGTTGTAGAAAGTACTTCACCCTTCATCCCCCTCTAGTCTTGTTTTCCTATCTGCAGCATTCCAGGTTCCTAATTAACAGGCAGGGACCTGATGCAGGTGTCTGGAAGGGCTTTCCCCAGCCCCTTGGCTCCTACCCTAATCCCCAGCAGGGCCATGCCATTATCCAGGGGGAGAAAACAAAGTTGATGGCCTGTTGTGCTAGCAGAATCTTTACTTCCAACTTCTCAGAGCCCTGAGTGTGGCCACCCAACACTTTCCTTTATAGGCAAGCAACCCAAAAGCACAACCTACCTTCTTCTCTCCATTCCCTCATCTCCATTCAGCCCTTCCACCTTCTGAATTCCTTCTCCATAGCCTGAATAACAGTCCACACTGCTAGAATGGGAGAACTCCTTGCTGCCTTCCTTCCTTCATTCATAATACCAACAGTTCTAGAAAACCTGCTATGTACCGGGCACCAGGGAGGGCACTGGAGGTCCTGCCATGAATAAGACTTGTGTTCCTGTTCTGAAGGTACCTACTTTCCAGCAGGGAGTCATGGTGACTTATTTCACTATAATTGCAATGAGACCTGTGAAGAAATGCACACCTCTATTTGTTGCAATTGCAACTGATTAATGATTTAAATTACTGTTTGTAGCTGGTTGATGGACGCAACTCTCAGTGTGCTAAGGAAATTCTAACAGCAGGAATATGAAGATATGGCTTCCTCCTAATGCACTCCCAAAATGAAGGATGGAAGCACAAAGTTAAAAGGGTGCCCAACTTGGAAAGAAAAATACTCACCTTCATGAGCCCAAATATGACGCTGAAGGTCTGAGCCATTCTTCATGAAATAAAAGTCACAATACGGGCACTTCATGGCTCTCTTTCCAATTAGCCCTTTCAGCTGAACCCTCCTCCCAAGAACCTCAGAAATCGTGCTCATGGAGATCTCTAGAAGGAAAGCAGGATGTCAAAAGGGTTCAGAGGACCTCGGGGAAAGTTAGACATAAATAAACCTTATTGCTAAGCAGCCCCAAAGTTGAAATCAAGGTGTGCCTCATGGTGTCCAGAGATAGGATTTTTCACCTAAAAAGTTAAACCAGAATTCAGTCGAGTCTCAGATCTCAGTATCTGTTCCACAACATGTATAAGGAATGGAAAAGCGACATCATAGGCAATAATCACACAAATGTAGAAAGTGAGACTGTCTACAGGAAATATGACTCAGTTTCCCCCACAAGTCAATGTCATGGAAAAAAGCACAAGGGAGGGGGGCACTAGAGAACACGAGAAACAGAAACATAGGGAACAAAACCACTAGATGCAAATGCTTAAATGCTGCTTCAAGCAAACCAACAGTTTAAAAAAAAATCTTGGGGAAAATTGGGGAAATTTTAAACAGGCTTATAATAGGTGCCAATAATGAATTACAGTTAATCCTGTTTGCTTTATTGGTGACAGAGTGGCTATGCTGAAAGCAATCCTTATTAGTTGAAGATGCATTTTAAAGGTTTTCATGGAGGAATTACATGCTGTCTAAAATATATTTTTAAATATCCTAGAAGAAAAAAAGTTTGCATGGTGGATACATGAAAAGAGTTTGGCAAAATCTGGATAACTGAGGAAGCTGAGTGATGAATACAAGAAGCTCCCAGCATTATTCTGTACGCTCTCGTGTGTTTGGGATTTTCTGAAAGAAAAAGTTTAAAATAATAACAAAATAATTTCTTACATCTGTTCATCAGGAAGGGCTGTTTTAATAACAACTCTGGCTCATACTGGATCCCATGTCACTTAGGACATGAGTTAACATGAGGAGGACAGAGCTGGGCCTTCAGAGAAGTACACAGCCCACACCCTTCCCACATACATGCAGGCCTCACAGCTCTGTCCACTCCCAGATGAAACATGAGTCTTAGTGTCCTTCTATTATTTCTTTATCTTCCTCCACTTAGAATCAGTGAGTGTGTTCCCTTATACGAAGAGCAGATACAAAATAATGAAGAACAGGAAAAAATAGACATGTATGAAGGGAGAGGTGCATTTAGAGGGAGTATTTGTTACTCCTTCATAAAACACACAATGCCCTCGTGTGCTTTCTCAGGGCCTGGCTAGAGAGTCACGGTGACTGGAGCATGGTGGTCAGTGCACTGTGTGTGAAGTTAGCAGGGGTTGGGGGCGGACCCTCGGCCAGACTGGAGGCTACAACTGCCTCCCCAAATTCAGGGCTATGAGGAAGAACATAAAGAATGAACAGAAATTGATCAGGCAGGACAGAAGGAAAAATGTTCCAGGTGGCACAAACAGAAAAGACAAGGCATGGACACCCAGGTAACTGGTGCCTCATGCACCTGACCAGTGTGGAAGATGAGAAGACCTGTGGTGATGGTCTCTCCAACTCTCAGATGCTCCTCAGCTTGGGCAGGAGCCAACACCCCTTACAAACCACCACTCTGAGTAACACAAGCTTATGACAAAGGCCAGGCAACAGGCGAGAATCTAAGTCAGACCTGCATTATATGGGTCCCATTCAAAGGCATGCAAATATCACTGAAACTGCAGGGGTGAGGGCAGATGCATCTCAAGACAAGATAAAAGAAGAAAAGGAAATAATTATCCCAGCTTTGAATAAAGATGATTGTTTCGCATGAATGCATATACAGCTTCATCCCTTTTTATGTCTATATAGTACAGTTGATATAAAACATTGTTTTAAATAAACATAAGCATTTTTAACATTAATCTTCCACTCTAAAATGTACAACCTTACCAGGATGGTTGGTCTTGATATGTGACTTTATCAATCGATCTTCTGAAAAAGACTTTTCACAAACAGGGCAAGAATAACTCCTTTTGTCCTAAATAGAAAGAGAACATAATCAATTGACTCTCTAATTTAAATCTGGGCTCTGTAAAAAATAACCACCACCATCACCATTATCACCACCACTACCACTCATGCTATCAACAGTCATCACCACCACCACCACCATTATCACCATCATCAATACCACCATCACTACCACTAGCACTATCAACAGTCATCACCACCACCACCATCATCACCATCATCAATACCACCATCACCACCACCAGCATTATCAACAGTCATCATCACCACCATTATCACCATCAATACCATCACCACCACCAGCATTATCAACAGTCACCACCACCATTATCATCATCATTAATACCCACCACCACCAGCACTATCAACAGTCATCACCACCACCACCATCACCATCACCACCACCAGCATTATCAACAGTCATCACCACCGCCACCATCATCACCACCACCAGCATTATTAATAGTCATCAATACCACCAATATCACCATCATCACCACCATTACCAGCACTATCAACAGTCATCGCCAGCACCACCACCACTATCATCACCATCACCACCACCACCACCACCATCACCATCATCAACACTAGCATTATCATCAGCACCATCATTATCATCAGCTTTATCAAAGCCAGACACAGAGCATCCTTCCAAGCATATACATACAGCCTCCACCTGGCCTTGCACAGCCTGGGGAGCTCAAAAGTAGGGGAATGGGGGAATGAAGGAATGGCATCAGCTCTATTTCAGAAGGAAGGGATGAGGTTTAGAGGGGAGAGTTCTGTGGAGGTGGGCAGTACTCAGCCTCAAGGCTGCAAGTCTACCACACAGACCATTGCTATTCTATAACTCAAGAGCATATTCCAACCGCCAGCACTCAACACAGGGATTACATGAGCAAATGATTTTATTGAGATTCACAACCACTCACAAAAGACAGGCACTGTCATGTACATGTTACAGATTAAGAAGACGAGGCCCAGGATATAAGCCCAAAGTCTGAGAGGAGGCGCCAGTGTTGGAAGCAGAGGGTCCAGATGCCCACCCAGGATGCCTCCTGCCACTCCAAGACCCGTGTCCCACTGAGGCTGCAGGAGGTTGTTCATCCTGGACTGCTATAGCTTCACAGCCATGGTCACCATCGTGTAACATTCTCAGTTAGGAAGAGGGTTTTGTGAATTACCAAGCTTCGGCTTTTGCTCACCACCCTTTTCTCTCAGCGCTCACTTGAGAGCAACTTCACATCACTCTTTTCCCCAAGCGTGGATGTCACTGGTTGAACTGTATTCCCCAAAAATCATATGTTGGAGTCCTAACCTCCAATACCTCAGAATGCAACCTTATTTGGAGACAGGGTCTTTACAGAGGTAATCCAGTTAAAATGAGGTCACTGGGGTGGGCCGTCATCCAATGTGACTGGTGTCCTTATAAAAAGGGGAAATTCGAACACAGAGCTACACGCAGGGAAAACGCCACGTGCAAATGAAGGCAGAGACCAGAGCAATGCATCTACCAGCCAAGGAATGACAAAGACGGACAGCAAATCACCTGAAGCTCAGAGAGAGGCACGGACCACATCCTCCCCAACAGCCTCAGGAGGAAGCGGCCGTGGCAACACCTTGACCTCTGCCCTCTGCTCTCCAGGACGGTGTGACAGTAAATACCTGCTGTTTATATCACCAGAGTGTGGCACTTTGACTGCCAAGCTTACCAAACCCACAGCTTACTAAGAGCCAAACCCTGGTAGGAAATGTCTGGTGGCTCATGCCTGTAATCCCAGCATTATGGGAGGCCGAGGTGAGCGGATCACCTGAGGTCAGGAGTTCAAAACCAGCTGACCAACATGGAGAAACCCCGTCTCTACTAAAAATACAAAACAATTTGCCGAGCATGGTGGTACATGCTTGTAATCCCAGCTACTCAGGAAGCTGAGATAGGAGAATTGCTTGAACCCAAGAGGCGGACGTTGTGGTGAGCCGAGATTGCACCACTGCACTCCAGCCTAGGCAACAGAGCAAGACTCCATCTCAAAAAAAAAAAAAAAAAAAAAAAAGGTGAAAACAAAGGGACTACCACTGGAAGGAAAGGTTTGGGGCTGCGTTTCGGGGGAGGTTAATACACTCTATGCTCACTTGGGTTTACAGAAGGACTAAATCCCTCTATTTGTGGCACCTCTACTGTGAGCTCCATGAGGCACCAAGTGTGTTCCCTGCCTTGTGTGATGACTGCGCTCCTCACTGCGCTCCCGCCAGGCCATCTACTCCTACTCTAAACAATGAAAAGCACAAGAGCTCCACTTGTGAAGAAATCATTGGATGCAAAGTGCTTTACATACGTATCCCATGAGGCCTTTAGAAACTTGCCCAAGCTTCACACTACACTGAGAACACAGCTGGACTCCAGAGCTCTTGCTCCTTCGAAACCTTGACTAGCAGAATAGGTTCAGGGCTCAGAGCGCCTGGGTTCAAACCTTGGTTTTGCCACTTATCAGCTATGGAACTTTGAGCAACTGATTTAACTTCTCAGTGCCTCCGTTTGATCATCTGTAAAATGGCAATAAAAACAATGCCTCCTTCATAGGGTCTCAAGGAGGATAAAGTAGATGAAAAACACAGAGTGTTTAGAATGGAACCTGTCATAGACGGAGAGCTCAATAAATCTGAAAGACTTTGCTGCTGTGGTTCCTGTGTTGCTATCAGCAACTCAGCCTCAGACAGCAGCCCTTCTCATGGGCAAATACTCCCTGGAAACCTCTGAGAGAGGGATGTGAATGATCACCCTCTCCCTCCTTTGTGGACTGGTTATTGTTGCTGTGGCGCGTCTCCTGAGGCCGGTGTTCCCCAGAGTCTGATGTTCCCCAGCGTCTGGTGTTCCCCAGCATACACTTAGAAAAAGTGTACTTTACATTAAAAACCAAAAACAAAAGTCCCTCTGAACAACCAAATGGTTTGGGTGCATTTCCCACCAGACATCTAAATACCAGGCAATGCCAGCCAAGCACACATGTCCAAGGGGTCCAGGCACCTCTTAAGAAACTGTCCTGAATTTTCCGGGCCAGTCAATGCCACAGATCCCCATGCAGGCTACACCACAGGCTCAGGGCTCCTCAGAGCACTCCTGTCACTGCCCTCCTCTGCCCTTGGCCTCAGGCAAGATGCCCCAGGCCCGGCGGGCATCCTGGAGGAGACCTCCACCACCCTTGCTGCCTCTCAGTGCCCACATCATCAGAGTTGATGGAGGCATTCAGAAGGACTTTGAAGGAGTTTACATACAGTGATCTCCCCTGAGCCTCTGCTATTTGATTTTTTTTCTTTTAATCTCTGATAGTCAGAAAGCAATTTATCTCAGAGCTTATCAGGGCCCCTTACTTTTTGACGCCTTTGAAGACTGTCAGAAGGACACAGATGGTGGTAAAGGGTACTGGGCGGGGGTGTGTGGGGAACTCTTAGGAACTCATTTGCTTCTTTTTCAAAACATTAGTTGCACACCAGAGATGAAAACTCAGACTGACACAACAAACTTAAAAAGAGTGGTGGTTAAAAGAGCTCCGGGCAGAGACGGAGAGTGTGAGAGACCCATGCCTTAATGACGGTAGGAAAGCCCGGCTTTTGGAGTCTGTTTGCTCTGACGGAAATGGCCTTCAAAGCAATCGGGACCCTTTGAAATAAGGGAGACACTGCAAGAAGCCGCAGCATGGCCTGGGGTGCAGGGTCAGCCCCAAGCCTCAGGCTCAGAGCCCAGCTCTCTGCTCCAGGCAAAGCTCATTTGGTCTATGCCTTAGTGACAAGTGCTTTAAAAAAATAAAGGTGGGAGTTTCTACTCAACCATTTCTCAGGAATAAAGCCCACAGTTATGGCATGTGCTTTCCTCCATGGACTCATTCATTCCTCAACTGCTATAGGGCCCCTGGTATGTGCCAGGCACTGCACTGAGAAAGAGGTGTGAGACTCTCAGAGGCTCGAATGCTTATCAAGAAAGAGATGTGTCAACAAACTGAGCTCAACCATCAGTGAGGATGTCTGCAGAAAGTGCAGCAAAGCACAGGAAAAGTCATGTTGAAATTGCAACTCATTTGAACAAGTTAGAAGACAGCCAGAAATGTGCTCCATTTAGGATTTCAACTCAAGGATTTTCCTTTCCCCTGGAAATAGTTCTGTTTTGCCACGTGATGCCCTTTCAATTTAGAATCTCAGTTCTTACTAAAATGAAGCTATTCTATACACAACATAATCTGGTAGCCTGAGGTCTCCTGGACAGTGGATAAAACACCCAAATGGGAGAAACACAGAAACAAATTTGTTCTATAATCAAATAAGAAAAGACCATTTTCTTACAGCTCTTGGAAATGGAAAACATTACATGCAATCACTTTAATTGAATAACATTTCCTCCACTTTAAAAGTATACATACTGGGCTGAGTGCAGTGGCTCAAGCCTATAATCCCAGCACTTTGGGAGGCTGAGTTGGACGGATCACAAGGTCAGGAGATCAAGACCATCCTTGCCAATATGGTGAAACTCCATCTCTACTGAAAATACAAAAATTAGCCCGGCGTGGTGGCATGCGCCTGTAGTCCCAGCTACCTCCAGAGGCTGAGGCAGAAGAATTGCTTGAACCCGGGAGGTGGAGGTTACAGTGAGCCAAGATCGTGCCACTGCACTTCAGCCTGAGCTGAAGTCAGAGACTGTCTCAAAAAAAAAAGTACACATACTGACTGGATGTACCCATTTCTAGAAAGAGATTGAAAGTAGCTTCCTCTACCTCTTCCTCTTCCTCTACTTCTTCCTTTTCCTCTACTTCTTCCTCAGTGCTTTGCTGGCAATATATTTTAGCTTATCTCCAGAAAGTAAGTGTAAGATTTCTTTTTAATATATGGACCTTTATAGCCAAAAAGAGACTATGCGCTTCTCGATGACAAAGATTAAGTATTCTAAACATTTGTTGAGAGACCATCAAACTCAACAGTACACCATCGCCAATCACTACTACTATTCCTCTTTCT